AATGTGGTTCATTTCTGAACAACCTATAATTGACTGTTTTTAGTAGCTGAGATGAGATGTAATTACCTTGGCAGTACGAGTTACATTGTTTCTCCTTATTTCTTTAGATACTCTTCACTTTATAAAGGGTTCAACCACGTTATTTGTATGAACTTCCGTGGCGAAAAATTAAAGTACTCAGTTCTTTTTTAGAGCCCTTTATAAATCCAAAAATAGTATTTCTTTTCAATTGTAATTTCCGTATGCGAAAAAGGACACTTTCTGAAATTACAGTCTTGAAATTATGGATCTGTACACACACATATGGAGGGTCATGTCCAACTCATTGTAACTGACAGTTAACAAAGATCTGCAATGGTTCATAATATACAGGCGTCATCTGGAGCGACAGAACATCGTTCATGGGTCTATACCTACAGGCTGACCACCTTTATATAAAGTGAAGGGCTATAATACATGAAAAAACAGGTTACTCATAATCTAAATGCAAAATTTTTTTACATCACTTCATGAAACCTTCAATTATTCTCGGTGTAGATGCACTACATAAACTACTAACCAAATCAGCTACTAGTATATGAACTCACAACATAAACACGATGTAATATTTCCTTTTCGTAAAAAAAGACTTAAAACTCTCACTCCTGTGGATTTGTTTTACACATTGTCCTTCACTTCTCAATCAATTCAAAAACATACATACACATGCTTCTGTCAACGGGGACTATGTTATTGTTTCACTTTTCACGGTTCAATGTGCACTCTGCACTGTTCCTGTAAGGCAATCGCTCTCAGCATTTTGAGTCACAGATCCATAAAGCTGCAGTGTATTTCAAGGACCAGTATCCCCCCCCCCCAATCTGTCTCATACTGTACAATCAAAAATTATGCTTTGCTTACATTTCCTAACTTGTTTTACTAGTTAATTTCTCTACACAAAGTGTAGCTCTAAATAGCACTCCACTAACCTCACACCTCAAAAATGGCATTAGTAACTTCAGCTTTATAAGAAAATCATATATTATTCAATAGTTAGTAGTGGGTTACTCGATATACAGATAAAGTTCCAAGAACAACAGAATCAAATTCAAATGAAAATTTCAAAACATGCAAAAGAGAGCCTACCTGATTCATACACGTAAAAACAAAATGTGCATATACGCAATACAAATAAAGGTAGTGCAACACAAGAAATACAAATGATATAGATGTTTATAACAACACAAACAAGAGATTATTCTCCCTCTTGAGTACCTGTGAAGTCGTGGAAGAAGAAGTCAATCTGTTTTCATACCCATGTGACTAGGGACTCAATAATGAACACTATTTAGCGCCTTAATATCACGCACATCCTAAAATGTCCGCAAACCGACCATTAATATTAATATTATAACGAGAGTAAGTACTGGATTTTAAAACAGTTCACCTCAACCAAATCCATCTGATATGTTCTTTTTATATGAAAACCATGCTCTGGCTGACAGATAACATTAATACGCACTGGTATTATCAACAGCACGGCTGTAAAGTGTTCAAATCTACCACCCCAGTCTGCGTTCAGTGTACTCTTTGATCCTAAATTAAATATGTACTCGTGAACAGTAAATTCCATTGATACAGAACGAGCGACTGTATTCTGCCGGCAAACCACGCGGACCATGAGGCAGTGTGCGTGACCTACTGACGGTAGAGAGTACTCTCACTCATTCTACAAGGTAAACCTACAAATTATAATTTACCAGATTAAAAGTTCATCAAACTGAATAAGTGAGGCATGCAGCAAAATGGAAGCACTCCCCCCCCCCACAAAGATGTAACATGTTATATACTGTTTAACAAAGTCATTGAAGTAACACAACAACCCTCAATGCTACATTCTCCAAGTCTTGAACTATATTTTAAATTAGTTTTGAAAAACAAATCAGTACACAATGAAAATGCCATAAACCAGTGAGAACTGTTAGAGCTATTAAATGTCATCCATCCTAGACACTGCATTTGTTTTAAGAAACAACGTAACAACATATTCATGATTCAATTTAATACCTAAAGATGTTCACACCAGTACAATAAACAATTCAATTGCTGATACTAGTACAACAACATTTGCTACTGACCATTCATAGTTGCATCTCCTCCTGAATTCGAGCTTCCATCTGCTGGATGAAAACTGAGCGACGCACTGTTTATGCAGAATCTCCTCCGTGTAGGTTTCGGACCATCATTGAACACATGACCGAGATGAGCACCACAATTTGCGCAAGTCACTTCTGTCCGGATCATTCCTGGGTTTGCGATTAATAACAGAAGGTTGCCTCCAACTGACGTGTTGTTCGTTACGGTATTTTCAAGTTGTTGACACAGTTGAGTCATGGAGGGACGGGTAAAATGTGGGGATGGGAGAATGAATGGTTCGTAAGAGAGAAAAAGAACAAGAAGTATGAACCAATCACCAATCCGGCAAGCAAGACAAGCAATGTTGAACAAGGGGTGGAAATGTCGACAGTGGTCACTGATAATATGGTTAGGTTAGGTTATTTTGTTCTCAAAGCCAGAGCAATCGGCACAATACACATACATGTGCTTAATAAAACTGTACCCATATGAATCCTGAGACCGCGACAGGTACCGTTTTCAGAGCTCTTTGTGCACTTAATAACTCTGATTATGTAACTCTTCTCTAATAAAAGGATAAACTCACGGGTACAGCGACAATTAATGTCTATCTATCACGACAAAATATCAGATGTGAACATGACCAACCACACTGCTTGATTCTATATGTATATAGACTTTTCTATCTTTTTCAGAGAGATTGAAACCCCAAGAGAAAGTTATTTTACACGATCTGCTGCCAAGACAACTTGGAAACTGAAGCCCATTTGTAAAAAGGACACTGAACAAAAAGTTGGCGGATCAGAAGTTAACTCTCCGACACGTTGGCTTCTCGGGAAGGACACGGCTCCACAGAGCAAGTAAATTAGCTCTTCAAGCCTGGGCTCCTTACCTGAGAGTGAACCAATAGGGAACAGTAGGAAGAGTCAGGCAGGAAATCATCAAAGTTTATCACAATGTCCCCTATCACCAGAGTTCAGATGCCACATAAGTGGAAGTGGCCCCAGACTGGGTGAGGGCTGAAGCAACTGTCAAGATCTTGAAGTGGAAGGTCAATATTCAATTCTTCCTTCTTTTCTATCGACGTCCGGTGTTCAGGTACAGGAAAAAGACTGACAGGACTGGAGGGAGGAGTCTTGGGTCATCCATTTGCCTTTCAAGGTTGGGACATAAAATTACAGAGCCAAATGGACCAACCCACATTCTTGAAATGTCCCACTCAGGAATCCCACTATAATTCTTCCGTTAATGACCAAACAGACGGAGATCTTTCAGGATACCCTGAAAACACTGGCATCAGACTGGGCCCAAGACATGAAAGGTTGATGACACTGACTATGACAGTTTTTTCATACTGATAAAATAAAAGGTTAACATAGGAAAGTAAACTATTAATCTGCAAAACATCTTGATTCAGCATAATCAACATTACATCTGCACTGCACTACTTCTTAAATATCCTGCGTTTCATTTTTAAAATGCCAATAGAATTGACTAAAAAGGCACAAAGCTAAATTAAACTAGTGTTGGTTATAGTCATTTAAAAATATACTTTTTTTAATTTAGACAAATGACTTGATTCTACCTACTGAAATGTTAAATAGCAGATCTTTACATGCACGTAGTATATTCATAATACTAAAACGTATCGTACAGAAGCAAAGTACAACAGTACGAGAGTTGTAGATTTCCAGTTTGATACGGTAGGACGTATAAACCAAAGTATGTATGTACGCAGGAGAATGCTAACATTAATGTACAGCATGTTTGTATAAGATCTGCTGACAAATCAAAATACCGTATACCTGAAAGTTCTCATTCGCTACCATCCAGTTCTGTCCATCACAACACAGGCACAATCACTTACTCCTCCTATCACCTTTTAGGTTTTACCAGCATATATCAACATAAAGCTTACGGCCTTAGAACAGCCGACGAGTGTACTTTAAGGATTACCTTTTCTAATTTAAAACTTTTCACTGCCAGAAATCATACGTTACCTATACACAAGACTTCAAATGATACGCTAAAATATTGAAATACTAAATAATGGAGAGTTTTAATTTCACATTGTCAGTGACCACCGTACCTTTTGCCACCCCTCTCCTAAAATAATAAATCAGTGACCACCGTAAATTTTGCCACCCCTCTCCTAAAATAATAAAACTAATACAATGCAAATATTTTATATTTTAAACAAGAAATGTTTGAAAGATTATTAGAAAAAGTTACGGAATATGTAAGTTTCAACAAAAATCCAATTCAGAGAACAATAAAGCAATGTAGCAAACATTACCAGGACGTTAACATTAGATGTTATAGCGAAATGAACACTGATTTGTAACATCATCAACGCTTAGCTTGCACACACAGAGACTAGAAGCTGGAATGGTCCATGCAATGACAGGTATCGTGTGAATAAGAGATCACCTCTAATGAGAATGTGTAACAAACTTAATGAGTATTGTTTATAGAACATAAATTTCAAGTCCCACTGCCAATTCATTGTGAATGTTCTATTTTAATGTATCTCAACACATGATTACTAGCCTCAATGATGCAATTAAATGATATTAATGGACACTAATCACAATAAATTACACACACACAAAGCGAAAAACAAGAATAAATCTATACAGATGAGCTGTACGCAGTGTCAGCTGAAGGCTTGTTCCTTCTAATGTGTTTTACAGTACTAATTTACAATAATTTAACCCCTTCATTGCCTCTCATTACTCTCTACACACACCCACGTGTCTAGTGCGTAAATCAAAACAGCTCAATCAAACGCAATGGAGCCTTAAAGCCAGCAGCAAATGGTTTAAAGTTATAAAATTTCATTTGCAATGCGAGCCGCGTACATGATGAAGGGTATCAGTTCCCTTGTTTCAGAATTAAAATGCAGTACAATCCGACAAAAACAAAACCTGAATTAAATGGCTTTACTGGAAAATTCCATCAATCCTATCAAAACGGAGTAAAAATCAACGTTAAATAAGCTCTAATAACCGCAGACCAATGCCAAAGCAAAAATTAAAAATATGATTTTAAAAGAAAATGGTCTACTTGAATATTTAATATTTTGAACTAATTTAATTCTGTTCCATACTTTGTTTCCCGGAGTTAATGTGGGAAGGAAGATTTCTATAAAAATGGAAAAGAATTTATATGAAAATGTAGCAAATGAGTGCAACAAGAAAAATAAATTTTGAAATAAGATTTAAGCAAATATGAAGATTTCCTATAGGCACAATATTATTTACAGCAAAAACGTCAGGCACGCTCAGTTGACATCAACTTAATACATTTACATTTTTCCCATACAATTTTTGGTTACTAACATAATGGCAGTGCATGAAAAAGTGACTTAAAATTATTACAATAAGTCTTTATCTCTTGCAAGAGAATTAACAACACATCGTTCACTTTGGACGGTCAACTTCATAAAGATATAATTCTGAAGAATCCCTTCCTGTTGGTCACTGCTTGGTACACACATCATTGAGGTTTCTCTAATGACTTAGGATGGTTGGGATAAATTTGTAGACACAACTGTATGAACTTTAAAACTAGTCACATCCAATTCCTGTCCAAAACCATTAAAAAAGAAAAAATGTCAACAAAAAAAACAGTAATGTTGTGGTTACAAATTCATGCTTTCAAAGGATGCAATCAAAATTATTTCTACAAAAAGTTCAATGTTTTCCAAAGAAAACTTTATTTACACACCTATATTTCTGATTATGAAAAAAGAGTACAGGATGTGACTAGTTTACTTACAATTAACAATGACAATAAACAATACGCAAACAGAAATGCAGTTAAGATGTAAAATGACTTTGGCATACATTCTTTTAAGAAATTCCATTGTACAAAAAAAATTTCAAGGACTATTACGTTACACAAGTACTGATCATATTGAAGAAACAAGAAACAAATGCAGAATATTGGTTATCAGATTACAGCGATAAGAAATCATTAAAAACAAAAATCTCGAGAGCAACGACTGACACATATCTGTTCAGTTTCCATCAGTACTTACGTTAAAAAACGCTAGTTCACGACAGATCACCGAACCAAACGAGGGATTTCTATCAAATTTTTGTTTCACATTAAACTGTCAAGAATACATTCGCAATTACACCCGTTAAAATGCTGTCTTACCTTCCGATATTCAATTATATTACTCAACAAACTTTACTCTACAGCCACGTTTGAAAGCAGCACAGACAAAGTGTTTGCAAAACTGGACCATCAAAGGAATACTGATATAAGGGCAAGACTGAGTTCAAAACACAGTGGTAGACACACTTCATTTTCAAGAAATTTGGAATAAACACGCAGAGAAATAGATTAGCAAAGTTAGCACTGTGATATAAACGCAATGGCAAAAGACGCAGAGGCCATTCCACAAACAGACGTGTAAGCGATGGTAAGAAATCAATTTTCATATCCATACAAATTTATTACATTTTTATCTTTGTGAGACATTCTAGACTTAATAGTAGCAAGAATTCACAAAATTTAATCTGCTATTAACTTCATCATGAACACAATTCTGATCTGTCACTGAAATTACTACATACAGAGTGAATTTAATCCTGCCTGACCCTGAAGCAGAAATGTCTGTTCAAATCAGAAAGAAAAAACATTAAAAAAAAGAACGCAGATCATGAAGGCCCTTGTTCTGTTGTAATAATGAAAAACAAAAGAAAAATATAATTTAAACAATACTCGGTGACAAGGCCAAGCAAAGTTTGCTCAGCAAAAACATCATCAAACCAGAATCTGTCAGGGTATACAAAATAATGACCGAGACAAATAAAATTAGGGCTTTTTGAATGTGGTTTATTTACCAAAAAAGATAACTCAGTTTGCTCTAATGTCATAATACTGAAATGTAATGTTCTAACTCGCAGATGATAATAGCCTCCTAAGTATTTACAATCAAAGTAGAAATCGTGTACCATAAAAGCCACTATCCTACTGGAGCAGGGCAAGTTAGTGACCAACTACGGAACAATTAGTTGGAACTCGCCGTGCCAAACACTCACCATGAGATGTATCCTTTGTTAATTTCACCTTGCCTTGGTCCAGTACGTCATTGAAGGCTGGCCAACCACAGCCCGAGTCAAACTTTGTTTCTGATGAGAACAGTTCATCTCCACACACCACACATGTATATGTTCCCGCATCTGTCGTTTTGTAGTATTTTCCAGTAAATGCCCTACAAATTATGAGAATGTAATCGCACGTATGCATAGGTAACACAATGATTTTAATAATTTTATCAAAACACGCCCTGCATTTCTTTTAATTAACTTTACAATATATGTTTTGAAACAATGATTTATCAGTCTCACTCTACACATTACCAAAGATTCAGCATGGAATAAACGGCAAGTGAATAGCTTGCAAAAAAGTACATGAATAAATCATTAACTAAAGCCCTGTTACAAACAGCAAGTTACCATATAGTGGAGTTTAAATCTCTACATCAGAAATGACAAAGGTAAAAACAGAAAAGCGGGAAACAGGAAAGTGAGGTTAAGTGAAAGTCAGTGTGACAAAACATTACAAAGCTGCTCTACAGGAGTGAATGTAACTTCTGAGATTTGTGCATTGTGAAACAAGGGTCATTCTATGCAAAATCAATGAAAGCTGAAAAAGATGGCTGCATTTCATTTGAGAAAGGCATAGCAAATATTAAAATTTAAAAAATTACATACTATGAACATTCACATAATGACAAAAATAACAGTGTTCAGATGTTGGAAACATAAAAAAACCATGATAAACCCAAATCTCAGTAAAGTAGATGAAGATTATGTTCAATGCTGGGATCAGTATTAGCGGTTTCGAATCAATGGGTTACATTACAAGGAATTCATAAGTTTCCCTGTCATTCAACAAAACCATATCAGAGTATATAAGGAAATACATATATGGGCATTGCAAAACCTTTCATTCCCATAAAGACACTGATAACTACAGACAAAGACAGGAAGACATTTTAGCAATGTATTTCAAATCACAATTGTTTACATTGTAACCACTCCCAATAACAGTAACTACAATCTCTGACAAAATGGGATTGCACAAAGATAAAGTTCAATCACTTCAGTCTAATGGATGTTACCTCATCTCCTGTAAACAAAACACATTTATGAATACTTTTCCACATTTCTTATTAGAAAGCTACAAATGTTATAAATAATTTTCTGTCAGTTCAGAATGTACCTAAACTGGAATATTTTATTACTTTGAAGCAATCAACATGGGAGCTGTCAGTTGTGCAAGCACACATTCATGCCTCACCCAATTCCTCATATAAGGCCTGTCATAACACTCAAGGTTAAAAAATTCAACATTTATGTGACTACTGTGCTTGACAATGTCGTCCAAGTCTCCTAAACCTGGCCAACTGTTATCGTTTCCAAAGTCCTTCCACGAAAATTGCCTTATCTTCAGTAAGATTTTTACTTACTTAATTCCGAGATAAAGTATACCATTGCCAAATGCATTAATCATAGTGTAGTAATCCCACAATGTATGATTATATTAAAATATATGATTTCGTTATTTAATCTTTAACTGCGACCTTACCTCTCTGTGCCTTTTTCTTGAGTGACATGGTACTGCACTGGTGTTAACCTTTTCTTTAATTCTGCTTTAATATTTTGATCTTTGTCACTGTCTGACATTTCTGCCTGGAATCTTATTTTCTCCGAAGGTGCACTTTCTTCACGGTATACAGACTTTTCCTTATTTGGTATGGGTCAGATTTCTCCTCCACCCACATACAATTTAATCCCTTGAGAAATAAATTTTACTCACAGTGAGACTTCTCTTACGACGTTATGTTTACCGTATTAAATTGCCTCCAGACCTAGTTTCTGCTACTGTATTCATAGACAGTATTAAAAAACCTTCCTTTACTCTTCCAACCGCTCCATAACTATGTCAACCACAGAATGATAACCACAACACCACAACATTTTAATGCAGATATAAAAAATAATAGATATGTATTGTGCTTCCATCTATGTATCATTTATATATACAACGAGGTAACCCAGTCGGTATGAAGGACAGCTGCTCTGCAACCAAAATATTCATCTCTTTATTTTTTTGCTCACAGCGATATTTCGCTCATGACGTTATGTTTACCGTATTAGTTTCTGTTATTTTATTTACAGACACTAATACATACCTTCTCTTTGATCTACAAACTACTCCATAACTATATTAATAATTCAGTCTTACGCAGATGCAAAAATTATAGTTATGTATTGTGCTGCCACCTGAATATCGTTTATATGTACAACAATGACGTTTGTGACGTAACCATTAAACCAGTCGGTATGAAGGACAACTGCTGTTCAACCAACAAAGTTCGATAGTCGAGGGGACTATCACAGACGAAACTTGTTGAAAGCGGAAAGTAATTATTTTTCTGTGATCAAGTGAGCAACGTTGTACTCTGCCACGCTGGTTTTCGGTGTGTTTGTCGAGGCCGGTTGTGAGATGTAAGTTTAATTATTTTGTGTGTGTAGCAGATGTACAGATAAATCAAGATGCAACTATAACAACAGCCTTACTAGTCAGGAATTGTTTACCATAGTAGAATGTTAATATTGATTCATATGTGGCATTAAGTTAGATGGAATTGAAGGACACATCTTGGTACTGGGCCATTCAAATTTATCTTGATGAAGTGTCTCTCTTGGAATTGAAAAGGAAATATGTTACCAAAAATTATTTTTACCGTATACTTTAATTCTTGAGAAGTGGAAGACTGAAATTTTTCCAATTTATCTTGATAATGGTATCTTATTTGTTGCAGTTAATGTATTTAATATATACCTTCTAGCAGCACAGAAAATATGGTGGGAACATTGATAAAGTCCCATAAGTTTCGGATGTCCCCGGAAAAGCAAGAGACACTCCTGAAACTAAGTATACTGTCACTTGCTGCCATTCTTTGTAAGTACAAAATATGCATTGATTGTTATGGTTATTTTACATTAGTTCACTGCAGATTTCAATGGTCAGTTCTCAAATATGTTTAATTTCTATATGCAGATAGCTGGTACTATATTTGGATGTTTGAAGTTCTTTTAGTGTTTGTCATCAAATGTGGAATACTTTAAAAAGAAGTGCAAGATTTTATTTTTCAAAACAGAAACCTATAAAATGTTGTAAACCAGTTCAGTAATATCATATCCAAGTGTTTAATTTGACATGATTCTATTTAGGCTTGTTATACAGACACACAAATAACCTTGAAATTGGCCATAATGTGAATTTTTTAACATTTTTATAACAACATAATTATGCTTTTGTGTGTAATTTTCATTTTATTATTTCAGCATTTGCAACACGCTTGTTCTCTGTTCTGAGGTTTGAAAGTGTGATTCATGAGTTTGATCCATACTTTAATTATCGCACAACCAAGTTCTTGGCAGAGGAAGGATTTTATAATTTTCATAACTGGTTTGATGACAGAGCATGGTATCCTCTTGGAAGAATTATTGGAGGTAAGGATTTTTTATTTCCGTTTGCTAATGTTTGTGCGTTCTTAGTTATCTCTGCACCTGTTTGAATAGTAGCTTGTGAGTCACTGACAGAACAGTGAATGGTAAAGTTGTACACAAACATATGCACTCTCTGTTTTCGTGTATGACGTCTGATTAAAAAACGTCTATTATCTGGTCATAAAATCCAGATACATGGACCAGATCATAACGGAAGTGATGAGCTTCAGTTCACCAATATGAACGTGGTAGATGACTTTACCAGAGCATGTCGTTGAAGCCTCGTGCCCTGAAGGAGTGTAACCAGGCTGTACCAAATTTATGGCGAACCCTTCTCTTCATCGCTCCTCTGTCCATGATCCTTGTGGGGGGTCTTCCTAGATAGTTGCCCCCTACCCCTCAAGGCTTCCAAGTCATCTGTTGCCGTCTTGGACAGGGAGGGAGCCAACAACAGATGCCTGCTAGCCTTCCGCCATGCATTGGCCTCTGGCCAGTCTACTCTTACTCATCCACCCTTCTATGTCCCTGCCGACCTTCCTTCTTCAATCCAATGACTTATGCCACTCTTGGTCTTGCCTTGGCTGGCATCGAGTTCTTGAAATGCCCATTGTTTCTCTTCAGGTGATCGGCTATTGTTTTGTTACCAGTTTTATGGTTTTTCTAGTGGGTAATTTTGTAGCCTGGTAATAAGATTCCGTGGCTCAACCCCGGTCTTTGCCCCTGATTTTTAAATCATGAAGAATAAATAAAATTATGAATATCTGTGATTATATTGACAATCAGTTATCTTAAGACAGTAGTAGTGCCAACACGGTAAATACGAATGTCAAATGTACTTCGGATGCCGGACAAAATATTACCTCTGTTGTGAAGAGTTACTTCACAGAGGAAGAGAACATTTCATATTCATGTCCTTTTTACCTTTGTCATGTTTGTGTTTTGTAACCGACTAATAAATTATTTAATTCCTTGAAATGTTTTTAGAGTTTCGCTTTCAAATTGACAGTTATTATCCTCCATTTTTTTCCCGGAAATTAAATGTTGCTGTTTAATGAAAAATTCAAGGTCATATTTTTAATTTAGCGAGAATTACAGTACATTACCCAGATTTCATTAAAATCAGAGTACGTGAGGTTAACTCTTTAGTATTTTTAATGGTTTAGTGTATTTATGTTTGGAGAAATTTACATCATACTTGTGCCCTACATTACTATGTTTAATTAACAGCTCCGTGCTTGTGTAAATACTGTATTTTCTACGTAAGTTTACGTCGCCACTCTATGACGTTAGGTACAATTTACCCTGGACTTATGGTGACGTCAGCCGTGCTGTACCACTTAGCTTGGCTTGTGAATGTGACAATAGACATCAGAGATGTGTGTGTGTTCCTGGCTCCTCTATTCTCAAGTCTCACCACCATCGTTACGTACCTTCTCACGAAAGAATTGCGGGTAAGGAGAAAGACTCGCTACACTAATTTTAAATGTGTTTGTGATTTTATTGTATGTTCATTTGCAGGTGCCTATTAAAATTCCATCTGTCCACGTATGTGAGTGAACTTACAAATGAATAAAAAAAACACTTTAGATTAAATTTAATTTTGGTGTGTATGTGCTATAAAATGTTTATTAACGTCTGTTGGTCCTGTTTCAGGACTCTGCATCAGGTCTGGTTGCTGCGTCAATGATCGCAATCGTACCTGGTTACATATCTCGGTCAGTTGCGGGTTCCTATGACAATGAAGGTGTGCGTCAAACTGTATATTCAAGATTTATTTTATGATTTTTATAAAATGTTTAATTTACCTACATGCAAGCGCAGATGGAGGACGTTTGAAACGAGGGTACTGAGGAGAATATTTCGGCCTAAGAGGTTAAAATGACGGGAGATTAGGGGTAAATGCTCTGTACACTTCACCAGCTGTTTTTACGGCAATTAACTCGAGGAAGATAAACTGGGCATTGGCTGTAGTATGTAAGGAAGATATGAAAACCGCATACGAGCGTTTGTCGGAAAAGGCCGTTGGGGAAGATCTAGGCATAGATGGAAAGAAAGCATCGAGTGCGAAGGTATGGATTGGATCCATCTGGTGCAGGATAGGGACCAAAGGCAGGCTTTTGTGAACACTGTGGTGAATGTAGATGTTGTAATTGTAATTGCTAAAATTCTCGTAAGCGTGTTCAGTTAAGGCTGAGTGCTCTAGAAGAAATGCTTGTTGCAGGAATTGCTATATTCTGCATGCTGCTAACGTACTACATGTGGATCAAGGCTGTAAAGACGGGCACTATCTTCTGGTCGACTCTGGCTGCTCTTGCGTACTTTTATATGGTGGGTATTCCCTCTTCATTCGCCCGTGTCTGTTTCAGCTCCATTTGAACATTTGTAATGGTGAGCTGACATCTCGGAATTGATTGTCGAGCTATGTCAGTGAAAGTAAAAAATCCTTTTGTTGGGATTTGTTTTTACTGCGGCAGTTTTAGGAGTTCTGAGAAACTCAACTATCTTTGTGTGCCACTAAAAGAACGCTCTCCCCTTTCTTATTCATTGCTGTTTAGCTACAAAACATTTAATGGTAATTCAATTGAATGTATGAGGACTAGAGCTATAATTTAAGACTTCATATGAGATACTAGTTTGCTGTTTCCATTTGGATCTAGACGGAGGATCTTTGATGAAGGAAAATGAACATAACCTAACTTTCAAAGTGTAAACATTTTGTGCAAGTGCTCAAGGGTCTGTTGCTTGTGGAAGGGAGCATTTTTCCCCCATCAAAGATTCTCTCAGTGTAATGAGGCGTTCTGCCACTCGTACATTATTAAACGTTGTGAGAATGCCAGAGTAGTGTTGTATTTTGTTTGATTTCAACGAAGAACACTTTTCTGGAACGAATAGATAAAACTGTCATTGGTGTTACAGAATTTTGTTATGACATAATCAGCCTCACAGGACTGGTTTCTTTTCCAGTAAAAGTTTTTTTTTTTTCCGAGTATATATAAAGTTAGGCCTTCAGCGTCGCAGTGGACAGTGTTGTCCCATTCAGCCATTGAATTCGCGTACGACTTGGAGCCCCACTTAGTCCAGTGGTCAACTAGTTTGTTGCAGAATCTGGTTAACAAAAATGTCACGGATAATCTATAACGTTTCGATCTGATGTTCTTGTAGGTTTCGTCATGGGGAGGATATGTGTTCCTGATAAACTTGATTCCGCTCCACGTGCTGACTCTCATGGCCACGGGACGATTCTCACATCGCATCTATGTAGCTTACAGTACACTTTACTGTGTGGGTACTATTTTGTCGATGCAGATCAGTTTTGTAGGATTCCAGCCTGTCCAGAGCTCTGAGCATATGCTGGTAAGTGTCGTAGAACGTGGACGCAGTGAAGGCTTCCCACAACATTATAATTCTTATTGAGTTTTCCTAACCACCTCTCCAGTTTCTTGTCTCCGATAAATTTTCCTTTTTGGAAGAATACTTATGGGTTATCGTATACATAATAAATCTGGTGCTGATGTACAGGTGAAGAAGATCTGGCTATTTCGTGGACGTCAATTTGAAATGTGCAGATCACAGTGAATTGTATCTGGATATTCTGTTTTTTGACTCTGTAAGCGTAAGTTCATTTGGCTCCAATCACGATAAAATTCTCTCAGGCGATCGGCCACATCAGATTGTTACGCAGAGAGACCAGTGTTTCGGGAACCATCTCCGTCATCATCATGGTTCAGCTCTGTTCATTTGTCTGTTCTGCAGGCAGATTAAGCTTAAGTTGAATGTACTGAACGCCTTGCACTAACGAGATTTAGTGCAGCGAAGTCTTCTCGTGTGATCGGCTGTGTCAGTATAAGTTGAATCGCTTATGTTTCTGAGACATTTTCCTAAAATGGCCTGTAGCGGAACGTGGCACACTCTCTGCATCTGCAGTTTCACTTGTTTTTTGAAACTTCGGTAATTTAGTTAATAGTAATATCTGTGACGAATCTGTTGATCTTTAACGAGGTCTGTCTGCAAAACAATGGAAATTCATCTTGTACTTACGATCGTCTGAGAATGTTTGATTGCTGTTACGCTAACCTTTATACTGTGGCCAAGTCTGGTCATAGGTCAACGTATTCGTCATATATAGTTTATCTTTCAGAAAACAAACCATTTTGAAAATTTACTATTTATTTTGGAACTTGGATCTGGCTGCTCCGCAAAGTTAAACTTCAGCGAGGCGTGTTTGGAGATTATTGAACACTTTGGACGAAAGATTGGGCTAGAGGTAGTGAAGATGGAATTCTGACGTGAAGACAGATTTTCGTAGCGACGTGGAAATGCCTAGAGCGAAAAGAGAGAATTGGTCTTATTGCGTACTGTCTCATGAGTGCCTAATAATAATTGTTAAAATAATTATTTGAAACGATAGGTACACGACATCTTCTTGTTTTCTTGTATGATTTGGTGACTGTTGCCAGGCACTTGGTGTGTTTGGACTCTGTCAGCTGCACAGTTTCGTGGATTATCTTCGTAGTCACATGTCCAAGAAGGATTTTGAAGTTCTGTTCAGCGCTGTGTTGATTGCCACAGCAAGTATTTCAGCAATTGTAGGAGGGGCCCTTACCCTGACAGGTATGTCGTGCGTTTGGTTAATGGAGTCTTTTTCAGAGATAGTTTAAACTGTATTCATATTTTGGTGACACTGTATTCCAGAATTACCACATTTATGCAAATTAGAAATCACTTCTGCATGTAATCGACGCCTGTATTTTAAGATGAATGTAAAAAATAAAATATTATTTGTAAGCTTAGTTTTCCCTCAAGTACCAATCAAATTTAAAAACTTTCCAAATTCATAAGATACTGTTGTATCAATTTTGTGATAACTGGTCAGATAGTGTGTACTGTCACACAGGTCTTGCAAAAATTCAATTCTAATGTTTCGGTTGAGTGCAGACCGCTCTGTCTTTGTATGTAGGCCCTTAGTTGAAATCCCAGTGTCGAGAACATATATCGAAACAGGATTTTGTTCTTTCCTTAGTCCTCCAGACAAATAACTGCTCTTTTTTTAGGCATTCTTTGAAAAGCAGAATATTGTGATCTTTATGCCCTGCCTGCTCGCTATATAATGTCAGTTCATCTGTGCAGATTTTGTCTGCCCACTGCCAATGATTTTGCAGAGCGCAGTAGTGAAGTTCTTATTATAAGCTCTCTTCACTTGTAGCACTGCATAGGGCATAATAGCTGACATCATTATATTGATTATGTTGTTGGCACTTAATTCCATGATTGGATGTTGCGATACCCGTTGCTCTGATGGCAGCCTGCTTTTCAAAGTGTTTCTCGTGCCTGGTGCATAAATGTATGATGGTGGACTTTCATTCATATGAAGGAAAGGGTATAAGAAGATATGATTGTTCCTACAGGGAAGATCTCCCCATGGACTGGACGTTTCTACTCCCTCTTGGATCCGAGCTATGCCAAGAACCACATTCCGATCATCGCGTCTGTTTCCGAGCATCAGCCCACATCTTGGTCGTCTTTCTACTTTGACCTCCAGATTCTAGTGTTCTTGTTTCCAGCCGGACTGTACTTCTGTTTCTCCAAGCTGTCCGACGCAAACATATTCCTCATACTGTACGGTGTCACCAGCATCTACTTTGCTGTGAGTATGTAATTTAGTGCAAAATATGTTCGCTAAGGGGCTGTTGTCCAAAGTCTACTCTCACAGACATTCTCTATATATTTCTTGTTTATACCCAAATCATCGTGATGATGTCGCTATCATTCCGCTAATGGAAAAGGACAGATTGTAGAAACCACAAAGTTCATCATGTCCACCATTTTTCTCCTCATTTGCCTCGCTTATTTCTTAGCCCTGTGTTTTAAAATATTATTAGTTTGTGTTCTGCTCTCATCAAAAATGGCCATTTCGCAACAACTTGAAGACGAGATGGAAAGTGATTTCATTATAATTTACTGTTTTTAAAGTAAATGGGGCATTAACAGTTTCTGGACTGCAGAATAATTTCTTTAACTTATTCTTCTCCTGATTTAATAAGGAATGTCACCGTCATTTGTTATCGTCTTCTTCAAAGGCGTATTATCTGTTGTTATAATGTGCCTTTGTGTGATTTGAGGTCTTTGCAGCTGAGAAGATGTCAGATTCATGTAATAAGATGTAACTTTATTTTGCTTTGGACTTCTGGTATGTGACGTATTTGCACGCGTGTTCATGTTTATTTCTGTGACAAGTCTGATATGAATATATGCGAATAACTTGTTGGAGTTCTTGAACCCTTCATCAGGAAACTAATTACGGGCGACTCTCGGTTTACGGACAAGTTCCGTTCCAAGACTTTTCATTATACTTTTTTGTTTGTTATGTGTATATTGCATTCCTGAGCTTTTACAACGTGTATCGTATACGTTAGCGGCCATTTTAAGGCATTAAAACCATGTACTAAATTCCGCCGTATTTGTAATTCACATACAGTCGCTCCTGCCATAATTTGACACTTCATAATTACGTTTTGTAATTTTTTCTTGTAAGATCGATCTACTGGCAGAATTAGGTTCTACCTCCTTACATTTCGTATTGCCGTAATCTCATTTAGTATGATTATGTGTTTATAGTACAGAAAAATGCCCGAAGAACATCGCAAACAAGAATGATGTAGAGAACCTTCAGTGTGTATAGGATATATAACCTTGAAGGAATTTGCATAAACTTCCTCCAAAAATCTGAACCGCCTTTTAATACAGAAATCACGGTGGTATCTCGTGAGAATGGTAACGAACCTTTGGGTTCCAAAGAAGCAGGAAATTCTGGTGTTTATAGTACAGAAAAATGCCTGAAGAACATCGCAAACAAGAATGCTGTAGAGAACCTTCAGTGTGTATAGGATATATAACCTTGAAGGAATTTGCATAAACTTCCTCCAAAAATCTGAACCGCCTTTTAATACAGAAATCACGGTGGTATCTCGTGAGAATGGTAACGAACCTTTGGGTTCCAAAGAAGCAGGAAATTCTGGATAAGGTTCTGAAGGACTGCGCTGTTAGCAGTTAGAAGTCGTGGTCTGTGTTTAATGAACTGAGGTTGTGGTTTAAGACCTGAAAATGTAGAGCGCACGTTTCTCGCATCACTGTTACAGGGTGTGATGGTGCGTCTTATGCTCGTACTCGCTCCTGTCATGTGCATCCTCTCTGGCATAGCTGTGTCGGCCATGTTGGTGACGTACATGAAGCAGGTTGATTCGACAAAGAATGTGGACAAGAAAACCAGGAAGTTTGAGAGTAATTTTATTATGAAGAGTGAGGTTAGTAAATGGGATCATTTCATGATGCCAGATGACTATGGACAGATAATTGTGCGTTTTTATTACACCACAGAATGGGCCATAGAAGTCAGTGGGACTTTGGATATATTAATACAGTAATTATTGTGGTACTAATTTACCTAGATTATTTATGTTATCTTTTAGTACACAACAATTTTTTTTACCAGCTTTGCACTTATTGGGGCAACTGATAACAAAACTAGTAGCAACCTCGGCTGACTAATTATATTTATGGCTTGAACACCCAAACTTCAGAAAGCCTGTGCTATAAATATCATGATAAACGTAGGTGTAATAAGAGACCATTCGGGAAGGCGTGAGATGAAGGATGTGCTTTTATTTGTGTATCTTCAGATTGAGTTTTAATTTGCCAGTTTGGAAATGTTTGTTTTAGATTGCAACAATGTTTGTTGGAGTGATGTGTTTCATGCTGCTGTCCTATACGTTTCATTGTACGTGGGTTACGTCAGAAGCTTACAGCAGCCCTAGCATCGTGCTGTCGGCACGATCTCAAGATGGTTCTCGCATCATCTTTGATGACTTCAGAGAGGCATATTACTGGCTGCGGATGAATACACCAGAGGTATAGGATCCAAAATGAAAACCTCTAAAGAATTTAACTCGGCTATCTCTCGTTTTATGCACTGAATATCCATCCAAAGAGGATGGTGTGGTGCAAATTTACGGCCGTGCATTTATTATTGTGGCATTGCACATTAAATTCACTGAGGGCAAGCTCTATAAGTGATTTAGATAAACAGTGCGAGTAATTGCGAAATTAAAACTTAATGATTTTGCTTTTGCTGTTACATGCATGAATTGTAACTGACCATAAGAATGTTTTTATTTTCATAAGCTTCACATTGATCTATAAAATAGCCTTATCTGTTGGTGGATTAGTTTCATCTGTGGTGAAATTTTAGGCTGAGGCCGTCAGCCTTGGGTACAGATCTCCACGTAAAAAAATTAAATTAAATCCGTGGCGTAACAGCTCCAGGGAGCCAAAGCCGACTAGCTTGACTGCTGGCCTCGCGTTCACATGCCTAAGCAGAGGTGAACGATCATCCAACCAGATACAGCACGACGAACCCCCAGCCATTGCTAGCTTTCGTGACCGGATTACGCTACTCATTGTAGCTCCCCATTTTCCGGTCGAAAGCTCATGAGAAAATTTCTTCTCCCCCCGATACTCGAACCAGCGCGCATTCCGAAGCATGCCTCAGACGCGTGGCTACGGCGAGGGACTACAGATCACCACATATTTGTAGATAATTATCAGCCTATTTTTTCTACATTAATTCCTGTAGCGTTAATTGTGTGGTTTTATCTCATTGCCTCATTACATGCATGTCTTATGTTTCAGGATTCTAAGGTTATGTCTTGGTGGGATTATGGTTACCAGATAACGGCGATGGCGAATCGAACGATCCTCGTTGACAACAACACCTGGAACAACACGCACATATCGAGGGTTGGCCAGGCCATGGCATCGACTGAGGATCGTGCGTATGAAATCATGAGGGAATTGGATGTTGATTACGTTCTTGTTATCTTTGGCGGACTTACTGGTTACTCCTCTGACGGTACGGAAACTTGCGGCTGTACATTAAACTAACTCAGTTTTCAACATTTTGCACGAACGTGAGGTTGAATTTAAATTCTTTTGTAGCATATTTATTTGGTAGAGTTTGTTGGAACTTGGGCGCTTTGTGTTCGGGCAAATATTTAATCTAAAGTGGCTGAGATTAAATTTCTGGCATTGGGAAATTTTTTTTTTAATCTTTCTCAACACGCGGCCCTTGATCCTGATACTTCTGGTATCAGGTGCTATTTTATATTATTTTGTAGTGTTTTGTGTATGTGCAAGTAGAATCATTGATCAGCTCCAAGGTCAATCGGTAGATTGTCTAATTCATGACAGTCAAATTTTAGCGAGTGACTGTTCATTTCCCACAAAGTAAAACTTTTTTCTGCCTTGGAAACATCTTTTTGTAATTTGTAAGATTTTATGATCGTTGGTCAACATTAATGTGGAACCTAGGCCTGTGACGCTATAGGTCCGTATACACGACAACTGTTCCTGTTATGTTGGTTAGGTTAGGTTAATAATTGCCATTGTTTTCAGATATCAATAAGTTCCTGTGGATGGTTCGCATCGGTGGAAGCACAGAACGAGGAAGCCATATCAAGGAGTATGATTATTATTCTTCCTCCGCGGAGTTCCGCGTGGACAAGGAGGGTTCGCCAGCACTCCTCAATTGCCTTATGTATAAGATGTGCTATTATCGTTTTGGGCAGGTCTATACCGAAGGAGGTGGGTTGCACTCCTGTGTTGTGACGCATATTTCGTAATGACCCCGCAGGCCACTAAGTTCGTCGACTGTGTTGATACAAATTTGAGAATTCTGAAGGATAATATGTTTAGAGTAATTTACAGTTATGTGCCGTTAGACTGGCCAATTGCTAGGTCAGAGGTGAAGCCCCAACTGAGCTCTGAGATGTGCTTAATATTCTGGCTGGTGAGGTTTGCTGCACGCCTCAGAGGTGGTGATGTATAAAAGTGGAGCATTGGTAGAACGATGATGAGCAGGACATAATCTTTCACATAACCTACGGACTTGTGAGTTGATTGAACCGAAAGCTTTATTGTGGGAAGCCAGCGTCTGATTCACCGAGTAAAAGTATGTAAATAAATACAGCAGGGAGAAAGTTGTGTCAGTAAGTGTCTACCAGTGTTACTGTTGTACCACTTGCAGCAGAATAAGTGTCATCTCTGAGAGAGAGTAATTCATTCTAAACAAGTTGTAAAAATTGTGCTGAGCCCTGGAGATGGAGGCATCATTTTCCCTCAGAACATTTGTCTCTGTCTGCAAATCCACACAGCATCTTGACCCATAAGACCAGTGAAACCTCAAATTTTATTTCAAGAAATCAGATCTTTCAAAGTTAAACTTCCCCAAAAAGAAGTTAATCGTATTGATATCACTAAGAAAGAAATATCCACCATGTTGTAGTTAAGTCTCTCACGTCTTCTGTAAGCGATCGATTGTTCTGAATGTTGTAGGAAAACCTCCAGGTTTTGACCGAGTTCGGAATGCTGAGATCGGCAATAAGGATTTTGAACTAGACGTCTTAGAAGAGGCTTTCACCTCAGAACATTGGCTGGTTCGCATATACAAGGTAAAATCTCGACTGCTCCCAGCATTCTTTAAAGCGAAACCACTGTCTTACACTTTTGAATGGACCGCATCAAAATAAACATAAAATTACGAAGAGCGTGAAATCAAAAAAATTAAAATTATGAAATTTAAAGAAAAGTGGGTGTTGCCTTATGAGAAAACTTAAGCTAGCCACTTAGAGTACGGTAAACTCCCAATTATCCATGTGTATGTTATCTGCGCATGACTCTCAGTCAAAAACAGACATGTCTGAACTAGGCTTTCGACCTCTTTCCGCTTTAGAATCGGGTTTGGTTTAGGGAGGGTCTACAGAAGATTTTGTTGAACGATGCCGGTTTCATTCCCATTTCTTTATTGGTAGTAGGGTGAGGAAGTTTGTCCCAGTTGCCACAGTGGTGGGGAGAGGGGATACCACAGCTGCTTTGAACGAGAAAGGCTTGCAAACAAGAGCCCTTGCACTTGAAAGACAAAAGAGTGCTCCCAGGTGTAAATTATCTTAAGAACACCTTCCATTCATTTATTGTGAAATCACATACTGACAGTGATTTGAATAGCCAAAAAATGACGATAGTTCAAGGGTACTAAAGCAAACTGCATTCCCAGCCTTTATTGTGGCTAAGTTGACCCTGGAACTTGGTTTACGTGGTGATACAACCTTGTCACACCTGCTTTTGCATAAATTCAGTTAATGCTGGTTCAGTCTCCTGGGGATGAAATATTGCATTCGTCTGTCAAAGAAGTTACGTTATTAACGTGTGTGCTGCCCAGCGACCAGCTGACTTATTTTCAGCATCCAGAATCAGAAAATGCGTGCCTGTTCGCCATAACTAAAAGCTTCTTGCTACACGTGTGGATGTTTATGAAGTTGGTACTGAAGCAATAGAATCCCAAATTTATCCTTGATGGGTGGTCAGAGTCTGATTTTGACCTCAGGACCTGATGATTACACATGAATACGTATGTATGTTAATTGTCAGTATCAGTGCCAGAGAGACATTTTCAGAATGGTTTCAGGATGTTCATTTGTGTGAAATGCGGGAATTTCTTAAATTTGGTATAGATTGTTGAATATGTTTTGACTTCTGTAGTTATTGGAGTAATTTCTGAAGGGAGAAAGTTGTGTCAGTAAGTGTCTACCAGTGTTACTGTTGTACCACTTACAGCAGAATAAGTGTCATCTCTGAGAGAGAGTAATTCATTCTAAACAAGTTGTAAAAATTGTGCTGAGCCCTGGAGATGGAGGCATCATTTTCCCTCAGAACATTTGTCTCTGTCTGCAAATCCACACAGCATCTTGACCCATAAGACCAGTGAAACCTCAAATTTTATTTCAAGAAATCAGATCTTTCAAAGTTAAACTTCCCCAAAAAGAAGTTAATCGTATTGATATCACTAAGAAAGAAATATCCACCATGTTGTAGTTAAGTCTCTCACG